GATGCGCGTGTAGGCGCGTGTATTGTGCGCTTGGCGCGTGGCAGCGTGTGGCAGTGCGTGCCCGTCGCTGACGGCGTCATCTGGCGCGTGAGGCACAAGCGCCGCCTTCCGGGGTGTTTTCTGGTCCGATTTCGGTACTCCCGAACTCCATTTTTCACAACAAAAACATTTATGGCATTAAAAATCACATTTAATGAACATAAAAATGAGGTGTACCACACTCTCAATCTAATGGGAGTTGAAATTTTCCTTCTTTATAAACATTTATGTATATAATGTGTACATATATATATAATATACACATGATTACAAAAAACACGAAAATACCCATTCATGCTCTGATACCAATGTAAATCAAAGGTAAAAGCAGCAGATGAAAAATTATGATCATACATTTTGTCTGTAGAGTCTGAATTGAAGGATGTCGTGGGTAAATCACGTGCTTCCTGAATCTGATCAATCAACCCAGCAATGGAGTGATATTACAGAATGAATATCACCCACACAAGTCACGGTGCAAAATGGCTCTTGATTGTTGTATTTTTTGGAGAGAGTCAGTATATTAGTAAAACATACGACATACGTTGTTTTTTTCTTAATCACTCATATCACATATTATATTAGATATATTGGATAATAATCAATCTATCCATATCAGTTATATCAGATATATAAGATATCTATATCATCTATCCATATCAGTTGATATGATAGATATAGATATCCTGAGTGGTTATCCAAATAGATTTTGAATTCAAATTCAAACTTATTTGGATAAGGTTCAAAAGGTTCAAAGAAGAAGGGTCAAGCCACATGGGCGCCCAATTTCTAACACTTATTCAATTCAGTACCGCTACGTTCACACAATTTTTACAGCCCGAATGCACACAATTGAGACTCTTACCGGTAAGAATTTCCAAAAGAGTCTCATTCGGGCAGATTCAAGCAAATAAAATTGTGTGGATGAATCATTAATCTATTCAATTATAGTTTTCTGCCATTTAATCATGCATGGGAACTTTGTTCATGGTACGAAGGCATGCTTATATGAAGTAGAATAATGCTTGGGACCCCCTTTTGGGGGTCACCCCCTCACCCCCCTTTGCCACGTGGCGGGTGGTGATTGGGGGAGCAGGAAAAAAAAGAAAAAGAAAAAGAAAATGTAACCAATGAGAGAGAGAGGGGGTCAAAGGGGGTGGGGGGAAAAGGGGGGATGAATCATTGTTGTATGAAGTATTAGACAGCTATGAGGGACAAAGATGCAAAAATTAGTGTTGGTTTCATAATAATAATAACAAAAATGCTTTAGAGCTCTAATATGAGAGCTCTAATAGCTCTAATGGGAAGGTGGGTCCCATCTTGATGTGATGTTTGTGCCTTGTCTTGTTTTGTTTTGTTTTATTTTTTTATTTTTTTTGCTTTGACACATCATTAGAGCTCAAATTAGAGCTCTATATTTAGAGCTCTCCATCATTTCCCGTTTGTGTTCTAACCGTAAACTACGAAGACGTCTAAAAGCATGATAGTGGAATATGCATGGAGGCATGTGAGTGTTCAATAAGTGTTAAACAACAATGTCATGGGTGGAGACAATGATATCAAGAACTTGAAAAGCAGCACTAAACGGCGGCCTTAATTCTTACGAACATGAAGTACTTAGAACTAGACAACCGAATTACTAATGATTTGAGCATGACGAAGAAAAAAGTTGTTGATAATTTTGGAGCCGACCAAATGGCAAAAACACAATACAAAATTAAGGAAGTAGTGACAACGGAGATGCGATAATGAATCATGACCACGGATGGCAATAGCTGAATTGAACCTTCCAAAATTGCCACCGGTGAAAGAGTTGAAAAGACGTGACGCAAGAAAATTCTATTATACACACTCCATATTATATGCATTTTTAATTATGTTATTTTTTTCTTTAATTATGATCAATTTTCTTCTTTAATTATGATATTATTTTAAAAT